TGGGAAGCGACTTTAGGCCCAAAAGCCGCAACAGCAATCCTGAATCCGTATGTGAGATGGATTCCGTGGTTTTTCTTGTAGAATCCGGATTGCGGAACATCGAATGCGGGATCCCACCATCTCTAGCATGTGGCGCGTTCAGTCGTCAGCCTCGACTTGTACATTGTTTTTGGGAACGGCAAGTCTTGAACAATTCTGGTCACTTTCCTCGGGTTGGCGCTTCGCGAGGCAGCGCCCCACCAGTGCCTGCGCCCCCCAAGGTGGGTGTCGAACTAGAGAGCTTCGTGGATTCTTCAAACATGGATCTGAAGGCTTCTTCGGCACGTGAAAAGCAAGAGGTTGGTGCAACCCACAGATCATCAGTGGGCTAATTACCACCTACTAAGCGCCTTGCCACACGTCTGTTGCGAAAAGGGAGCGTTGGTTCTATATAGACAAGATCTGGTGATGTTGGGCCAGGTTGGCTCATTCTATTTGTGATGTGCCTTGGAATGGAAACTTGAGTCGCCAATGTTTTGCTTGGCAATCCAAGATAACGCCCCCTTTCTTATTCCAGGGTTACAATTGGTGTCAAATTAGGGCTGTTCTTTTTCACAATGGTGGATTTCCTTTTGGCTTCGTTCAACGGGGCATTTGTTGCTTTTGTGGTCTCTAGCCCTGCTCAGGACCCAGGGTCCACAAAGAACCAACAAGAAAAACGGTCGGCAAAACACCTATGTGTGGTGAACTAGATTTGCAAGTTTGCTTTGTTGGTTTTTGTGGTACTCGCACCCCTGCAACCTACTCACCAAACAACCAACCACCAGCCACCCAAAAGCCACCCCCCACCGCAACAGGTTTGAGCACCAAATCACACTACCCTGAGTTGATGGATTCGGTTGGTTTGGTGATCGCCCAGTACCTGGGGAAGTTGTCGAAACCACCAAACCGCTTAAGGGTAACTTGACCAGACCTCGCCTCGACTTCAGGCGGCGGGTGCATGTGCGGCCTAGAGCAGGCAGATCCGGAGCTCCCCTGGGCGCCACAGCAGGATGCGGAGAAGGAGTGGAGAAACGGTTTGGGCGTGGTTGGGGGTTCTAGGTTTTGCGCACGCTTGACCTTCACGCAATCTCATGCTTCGCGCAAAACACTTGGGGCCTCTTGCGCGCCTGGCACGGGTGTCCGGTTCATTGTGTGGTGGATGTCCATACCCACTCTTGTTCACGGTCAGTGTGATCTATCTCGGAGCCGATACGGATGTGTCCTGGTCAAATGATATCCTGATCTTTATCCTGTGAGCGCAAGTAGCTGCGGCTCTCCAAATGTCGGACCCACGTCCGCTAAGTCCTCCAGACCAGCCCATGCCAGGTGCGCCCAACATCTAAGCAACAAGCAGTACGAGAACGACTGGGAGTCTGGAGATGGCGAACAGGGCGGCGAAGAAAAAGAAGAGCATTTCGCAGGAGCGAGGGGAGATGCTTCCTGGCAGATTTGCAGCGAGGAATGACGAGGACGATCAGCGGAGGAGCGCAACTGGTGCCAATTGCAACTGCTCCAGCAGTTTCCGCGGCTCTGCGTTGGATTCCCTAAGATGATGATCCTCTTCGGGAATCCAGCCTTCTCCTTCCATGGCTAGTCTCGAACGGGTTGTCTTTCGAGACTAGCGATGGGGAGACGAAGCTGTTGGGCAATACACCAAAAGCAGCTGTTGCTCTATTGTTCTGCACGGTTTCTGGGCAAAATGCGAAACCAAGAGGGAAGCTGAACCTCCACCCCAATGAATACCAATTGGGTGTGAATTTCGATAGACCCCTGGTTGAACATCAAACAAAACTGGGGTATCTTGTCCACCGACTTTTGAGGTGGTTCCAACTCCTGAGATTCAGAGCAATTTGTGTAGTACCGGAAACCATCAGGCAAACCGGTCAAGTCTCAAAACCATCGCAAGGCTGTCGCCCCCTGGGAGCAAGCCGCGCGACTCCACGCGGAACTGCGGCGAAGAGGCAGGCGGCGATCGGGCTCGGGTCGCGTTGTTGGAGCCGTTCATGGACCGGCAAGGTGCGGTACATATTTTTGCATGTTCAGAGGGGGGGGTTGGTTGGGCTTAGCCCATGTATAATCAAGGTTGAGACCTCCTAAGTGGTTTGGACACCCAAGTACCCCTTGTCCAACAATAGTTGTGGACAAGCTTCCAACACCCTGTCCACTTCCATGAACCGTTTTGAGAAGATTTGACAATGGGTTCCGGGACTCAGGTTTGGGGAGAAGCCACGAAGGTCGCGATCAGAGTATGTATTTCGGTCCCAGTGGTTTGCGGGTAGAAGCCATCTTTGCGTGATGTGGACCCCGCATAAATCAACCTGGTGGATTATTTTGAGAGTGTTGCCCCGCAAGAATCAAGGCAAAGCCCGACAGGGTTATGTAGGCGTGGGCTCCCGTGGGAGTCAACCGGAAATTTGGGAGTCTCACTATTTTCAGAGAAGCCCCTGTATTTGAGCCGCTTCAGGTTCGTCGCGTCCAGCAGTCCTTTGATGCTGTAAATGATTTTCGGGTACCTCTTTTTACAAGGCTTTTGATTGTGACTCAACTCAATTTGGGAGAAGCATTCATGGTCTTTGAGAAGCGAGGGTGCATGCATACTACGAATTGGTGCGGAGAAAATCCGGGGTGTAAGAACGGCCTCCACTCCCCGCAAAACACAACCCCCCAGGAAAAGACCCTACACATAACAATGGCTGTTCGAGTGGCTGATCCTTGATAGTTGCGCAAGCTGAAGAAACGCAAGCAACTCACACGATGTCTTTGCCTTGTCGTTGTTTTGTCGTGTCTTTACTTGGCTGTGTCTTTACTTTGTCATTTGAGTCGTCCGTAACTTGCACTCTGCTCGTCCACAAGTCCTTCGAATAGGGTTATGACGAGATTTAGAACCTTTAGATGCGGGTAATGTTAACCCCGGATAAATCACTTTTGGAGGGAACACCCCAACATTATGTGTCATGGGATTGGGCCCGGACCCACAATTTGTTTTCCCTTTGGTTCCTCTTTGATACCGAGCCTCAAGTTTCCCCCTCGGTCCGAGGCGGACCGGCGCCGCTGTTGACCGACTTCGGCGACCTGCAGGACGGAAGTGTCGGAGATATGGCCATGGTTCAAAACCGTTTTGGTTCCATTTTGGGATAGGTGCACCACCCATTTTAGTCTATTTTGAAGGGGATTGGGATGTTCCCTAGGGGTACAGGGTTTTGACCCACACCCATATGTGCTCATTCGTTTTGCCATGGTGTGGTAGACTCTTCTTTTTCCAGGTCTTGTTGGCTCAACAAGGAAACCTATGGTGATGAGATGGGGGTTTAGGCCCACAGAATTGTGAGCCAAGACAATCCCCTCCAGAGTGAAGTCATGGGAAAATGGGGTTGAGTCTTTTCGAGGCTCGGCACCCTTTTGGCAGAAAGGGAAACCAAAAAGAAGACATCCATTTAGGGGCCCTCCCAGTAGCCTAATACAGTTGACTGGTGGGCTAATGAAACCCCTTAGTTCAAGTGTTGGTTGCGTTGACTGCCGCAGGCAGACAGAAGACAAAACTGAAAACTCCCGCAAAACTTAACTGTACGCTGCTGAACTTGGCTCACGGAAGCCAACATACAAGCAAACAATTGTTTTGTTGATGTTTTGCCAACCCTGCATTGAAACCAGCTTTTGAAGCCAACATGCGTTGCATATGCACGCTTTTCTTGAGGTAGGAACATGGATAGGGCGACAGACGAACCTTAAGGAATGTGTTAACCATTAATCATTAACCAGTGTGATCCATTTTGAGAAGGGTCCAACCAGAAGCCATTTGACAGGCTTGCGGGCTTTGCTTGTTGGAACCGGACCCTAGCCCACAAAGGGAAGCCAAAGAGTTGTCCAAACCGATAGTTTCGGCTATGGTTTATGGGCCGCTGGGCCTAGGGATATGGCCATGGGTCAAAGTCCAAATCGTACCCCTAGTGAATCCAACCACTAAAGTAGGTCCAAAATGGGTGGTGAATTCACCTATCCCAAAATGGAACCAAAACGGTTTTGACCCAGAGCCAAATGTTGCCGAATTCTGCATGTTGCTCCCTGAGGACGACCTCGTCCTCCTACAGAGCTGGGCCTTTGAGCTCTCTGAGAAGCAGCGGTCTTTCCTTGGCCTATGAGTTCTCTCAGATGTGCCAAGAGTATTGGGTCCGCCCCTCTTTCTCACTTCCCCAGTTCCTGGACTTTGGCTATTCTTGTGGGAGGCCCGAGCAAACTCAAGTTAGCTTTACTTGGAGTTGGGATGGTCATCAACCTCGAAAAGGGGGGGGGGAATGATGGAATCGCAATTGACGTTGATTGGTAAGCCTAAATTCAACATGACATGACATCCAACGGGTAACCGATCCTTTTTGGACTCTAGAGATGAGCCGACCCGGTTCCGCCTGGCCGGTCCCAAAACAATGTTGACGTGTGATGTGGCTTTAGGTACCATGTGCGCCCCCAAAGATGAGTTGGCCAGTTGAGTCAAGGGTTCTGCTTGGTAGGGTTTCTAAGGGGTCCATGACCATACAAAGGCACAGAGGGCAGTCTCATGGGCCAAGGTGCGCTTGAATAGATCCAGTGATCCAAACATGGTGACAAGCTTAGTAGAACGAAGCGCCAATTGGTTTTGGGTGCTCAGATGCGAGTGTCATCTCGGAATGCTTTTCGATCCAAGGTCCTACTTCAATCGAGACAAAGTTGAGGTGTATCCATTTCAGGGGCAAGTAAGGGAGCGCCACGGACCTTGGCGACGAAAGTGCGCTGGTCTCTCCAGCGAGACTGGCATCCCGCGAGACGCCCGCGAGTGCCAAAGGCAAGTCAAAAAGTGGCCGGGTGAGCGATGGGTGACAGGAGCCGCTTCCGTGGCACTTTGTACCTGAACAGAGGGGTTTGGGTTCGTCGCCCGCCCGCCGCCCCGGAGCCCGGAGCCCGGAGCTCGGAGCTCGGAGCCGGGGATCTCGGTGTTGAATCGCCAGGTGTGCTGCATCCTGGGTGGCTCGGGAGCAGGCGAGAGGGTTGACGGCAACAGAGGACCAAGGCTCCGCTCGCCCAGAGATTGTGCTTAGAAGCTTCTTAGGGGTTGTTGGCAGTCTGGGAATCATTCTGGCGGGTTGGAGGGGCCTTAGTGCTTGGCGGGATCTCAAATGAATGTAGAGAACGCGCGGAACGCACGGACCACGTGGAACAAATTTGAATGCATAAATTGCATCCCGGGATTCATTAACAATTGGGATCCACAAATGGTTGTCAATTCCTTTTGGTTGCTTTTGGAGCTGTTGGCAGGTGCCACACCCCCCCACTCACATGGAAGCTCGGAAGCTTTCTCAAATATCCCAATCAGGTTTCATCTTGGTTGGTTGGGAGGGCAATATGTTTGGGAGGCATCTCCGTTTTTCGGCGCTTGATCCACGGGCTTTTCGCAAGTGTCCTAAAACCGGATGGGGATTGGAAACAACCAGCAACAACAGCGGGGAATCATTTGTGTGCGTCTTGGGTTGCCTGGAAAAGTGGCTGTTATCCGTTCTGGAAGCCAACACTTGGCTGCTCTTGGGTTCAACCTTTCAACGTTTCCTCTTGAGGGTTCCATGTGCACCATCCCCTTAAAGGTCTCATTTTGCGGGATACGTTGTTCCCTCTTGATTTGCTACAGAGAACCAATCAGTAAACCAGCCCGCAACAAAAGGATCGCTCTTTACGGGTCTTGGATCAACCCGCAGTTTGCATGCCTGCCCGGTTTCTCTAGATACTTGGCTAGCTGGTTAGTTGCTGGGTTGCTTGCTGGGTTGCTTGCTTGGTTGCTTGATTGCTTGGTTGCTTGGTTGGTTGCTCGGTCGGTGGGTAACTTGGTTTTGCAAAATGTTTGAAACCGATTTGCTAAACCATTGTATTTTTTGCTAAGCCAGGTTGCTCAGCCGAGCCACCCCAGTTTTGGTCAGTGAAACCACCCCAGCTTGCTGTGCACCTTCAAGTAGAGGCGAGGCGGTCGAGTTCTCCTGGGCTTGTCCAGGAATGACCCCTTTGGTTGGTGAAAGGGACACAACAAATGATGCCCTGTCCATCTTTTGGTTTTCCGCTCCTGTCCTACACATAGGGCCCAATGGACCAACCCGAGCCTTGTCGTGACTCGTAGGCAAGAGCACGCTGCTCAACGTCTTGGCAGGAAGGCTGGGCTGGAGTTGGAGATGGCCATTGTCTCAAGGAAAATACATGTGGTTTTCCTTTAGCTTCGCTTGAACTCCGGAAAAAAAGGTGAATCCCAAGTGAAGCCAACCATGTTGCGGCTTTTCCTACGGAATGCAGCCCCCTCAAAGCAAGCAACTTCTTTTGCGAAATCACACCCTAAGTCAAAAAGCTGGTTGGGTAGTGGAGATTGGGATGAACTGGTCAATCAAGGGGTTGCCTGGCCTTGTTTGAGACCGTGCCTCGCCGCTATCATGCTTTTCTTTCAGCCGCGGATTCTTTAAGCACCAATCACATGTTTCTGTTTGGATTTGCTGGCATTCGGCGGCTTCTGCCTTTGACTTGGTTCACTTGGGTTTGTGTCAAAGGGGTTTGGACACCAAAAACCAGCTTGTTTTCAGGGTGAGCCTCACCTTCATGGGGGTGTCTTTTTTTTGAGGGCACCCTCATTGAGGTGTTCTTAAAGGGCCTGGGGTTCACCGTTTGGAACCATTTTCGGGGGCTCCAAAACCACGAAAGAGCCCAGGCAGCTCACCAGCCGGGTCTTCCGCATTGAGGGGGAGCTCCGGGTGAACGGCCGGGCAGTGGAGCCCTGGCGCCTGCGCCCACGAGTGGCCGGGGACTCGCTAGAGCGCCACCCGGGCGGTTGGACCAAAGCGACTGGTTGGGGAGCAGCCTCTGTTCAAGGTCAAATGAATTTTCGTTCTTTGTTTTGAGGATACCCCGTTTTTGGATGGTTTTGGTTTTAAAGGGACCACCTTTTTCCAAATCCACAAGAAAGGGACACACTCATTTTCCTATAATCTGGCTGGTAGCTGAGGTACTAGCTGGGGGCATCGTAGTGATATTTCGCAATCAATGTCTCGTAGTACTTGGGCGGTATTCTTTGCAAACCTAGTAAGTAGGTTAGAACCATGGGTATAAAGAAAACCCCAGGATAAACATGGACTTTGGCCATAGCCACCGGCAAAAAGGGCTGGTCCTAGGTAGATAGACAGATAGACAGATGAAAGGATAGGTAGATAGCTAGATAGCTGAACAGACCGTGATTGGTGAATGGATAGATAGATAGATGAAGAAGACATAGATGGTTAAATAGATGGTTTTGATAGACAAAAAGATAGATATATCGACAGACAGACAAACAGACAGACAGATTAGATTAGATTAGATTAGATTAGATTAGATTAGATTAGATTAGATTAGATAGATCAATCGATAGATAGATAGATGCATAGATAGAGAACAAGATAGGTAGACAGAGATGAGTAGATGAGGTTGTGATAGTTTAGAGTAGTAGATCGGTAGAGGCGAGAGATAGATAGACGGAAAGACAGGTATGTAGAAAAGCATGATGAAGTTAGAACACATAGACTAGACTCAACCGTTGACTAGATATGGTGGATAGGCAGACGGGTAGGCGGGTAGATTCATACAAATAGATTGGTGGATAGATGCGCAGATGCATAGCTGGACGGATAGACAGATAGACAGATGGACAATGAACGGATGCGCAAACAGACGACTGGATGAATAGGCAGGTGGATGGATGGATAGAGAAACTAGGATGTCAAGAGGCAGGAAAATAAGTCGGCGGGGACACGTACAGCGCTAGCTTTGGGCAAATAATCTGCATTGGGGTTCGTGGCTTCTATCGGGTTCAGGTCTTTTGTTTCTCAAACTAGGTTTATGACATATGCCCTGAATAAGGTCTTTTGTAGTTGAAAACCAATTTCTTATTTGGTATGTTTTCACAGCAGGCGATCGAATTTAAATGTCTTCGTTTTTGGTCGGCAGGATGACAAGTAATGGAAAGGCGAGGGTATTTGTGGATAAACCTTGGACTAGACTAAAGTCAAGGTGCATTTGAGATGATCCCCCACTCTTGTCAGATCCCTGTTTGTATTTGCGGTTTCTGGAAAGATTCCTGGAGAATCCGCAGCAGATTTCAGTTGTTTTTTCCCATGGAGCTGGGCCATCCCTGGAACATTTGCAACATGGCATGATTTTCAGGTGGTGGGAGGGGCATGACCCTAGCAAAACTCATTTGTTTGTTGAAACCTTCAGTCCTTGGCTTCTCAACAGCAGGCCTACGTTATGCAGAAAGACGAGTTCTTCGCCACGGAAACGCCTCGGGAGGCGCTGTGGTTTGTTCACGGCGCTTTTGTGACCGCTGGTTCTGTTGCTCCCCCCCCCCAAAAAAAAAAGTGACCCATTAAACAAGGGACATCCTCAAACAAAGACAGAACAATCAACCCAATGACTCTTTCCAAAGGGACACTTTAGGTTCTCCCGGGGGTAGGGAGCTGCGAAGTCCAGGTATCGCGGGCAGCAACCGGGGCCTCTAGGCAAACAACCCAAAGCTTCCTTTGTAATGCTGGTAGACCGAGAGTCAATGCGTTTCTAACCCCCGACTTTCGCCGTGGTATTTCCTTTGGTAAAAAACAAAGCGCGCCAGCAAGGCAAGGATTGGCGCCCGGGTCCCCTTGAGCTGCCTTTAGAACTGCCAAGCGTGCACCTCCCAGCGGAAAGCTAAAGCAGACTTTTCTCATACCGCAATGGCACGCTTCAAAATCCCTGGAGACCTCAAGTGACAGTACAAGAACAGCTCAAGGAAACCATAGCATATACAAGGAACACCCCACCCCAGGAACCAGACCCAAGCCAATGTGTTGCGGGTTCTGTGGGGCTTGAGTGCACGAAGGCAACAAAGTTCACAGCCATTTGGCAACCTTTGGGAAAGGATGCCAGCATGATGCCAGTGGACACAAATCCGTTCCTGCAACTGCTCAGATTCGGCATAACTGTTGTCCAATGACTTCGGATTTTTTTTTTCTGTTGATGGAACCATGCCAGACGCCAGAAGCCCCCATAGGGATGGATTCCCAGTAACCAAAAAGTCGCTGAGTAGAATAAGTTGGGTATTCAGAGGCGGGGTCACGAGTTAATGAGTCATAAGGTTGGTTTTCCGGATCCCGAAGTTGACATTCGACCGAGAGGCAATCCTGTTTTCTGCGCGCCTGCGGCTGCCTGCATCGCACCTCTCGATGCTCGAGGCGGGCTGTCATGGACCTTCGAAGGAACCTACCGGGAGGGGGGGCTGTGGAACCGCCTCATTCGTGGCTTGTCCTTGGCTTAACCCTCTCCAAGTTCCTGTATTTTTTGGGTGTGTTGCCACCAATCTGGTCAAATGAGTTCCCGAATCGATCCAGGTTTATTCGAGCATAATGAAGTTCCCGAACTTGAGTTTGGTTCTTCATTCCGGTTCAGCGACGAGGAAGATGTTTGCCAACTGCTTGCCTGGCAAACTTGAGAGGTTCAGGTCTCCAACTGACTGAGGATTGCCACTGGGCACAGGATGGTTTCATTCCCAAATCACCTCCTCCAGTGTTTGGGATACCCAGGCATTCTTTGTTGCGACAGGTACAACAAATCCTCACTCCATCTCCAAATGCGACCCCCAAAAGATCACTGAATCAAACTGCTCTTTCTCCATACTTTCTTTGTCCGCTGCGTTCTGCTGATTTGTTTCTATGCTATTTTCCACTATCCCCAAACCCTTACCCGCAGAGAATTAGTGCGACATACAACAGTGTGGCAACTGAAAGGACTTCCCCCGGTATTCCACCGGATCCCGGTTTTGGGGGTCTCGACTCGGCGTATCGGTCCCACTTTCCCTATGGACATACTCCAGCAACTAGCCATACTACTTTGAACGATTTCAGGAGTTCTTACTGTAGGTGGTGCAGGATTTCGTCCATCCACAGTATGTCAGTTTTTTGTTTAAGCCTGGACGGTGATTGTATTCTCATATCAGGTAGCCCTCAATTGTTGGTTTGGATTGGTGAATGGGAAACCATCCCCTAGCCTCCAAACCACCCACCCAAAAAACCTAGAGGGAAGCTGATTACGTACCCCGTTTGCAACCACCGGTTGGTATGTCCAGTTGTTCTTTGGTGGTGGCAAGGAGAAGGGTATCGACAGCTACATCACTCAGCTCTTGGACTCACTGGGCCTCTCTGGTTGCTGCGACAGGCATGCAATCGGCGCGTCCGAGGGGTTTGTCTATCCCTAAATGGGTGGCTCGTCTTTTGGGGGAACCCTAAATGGATTTCGGTTTTCCTTTCGGTTTCCATGTAAAACGGAGAAAAACAAAAAAACGCAAATGGGTATGCCTGGTCAAAGGGATTTGGAGCCCAACGGCTTTCCTTTTGCTTGCTGAAGCCAAGGGGACTATCTACCCCCACAAAACATACCCAAATACCCTGGCCTCATCTTGCGGGTGTGACTTGCCAAGCGGTAGTTGCAATGAACAGCCTGGTAGTTGGAACTCAAGCCCAGACTAAACAAGAATATATTTGCCATGAAAAACCTGGTTGTTGACATCTGCTAGCCAACAACCGCCTATCCCCCTAATTCAAAAGTTATAATGGTATAATCATGTTCAACAGGAAACGCAGCTTCTAAATACACCCTCCAAGAATCCACTCTCGGGTACATGTTACCCAGTTCCCATGGCAAATCCCCTCCTTTTTTGGTCAGCTGACATGATTTGATGCCAACTCGCCGAGACAGGGTCTGCGCGATGCGGTTAGCTGCTGATTGTGAGGCGGATTGGAGGCGCCAGCCTGAACGGCATCAGCAACGGCGAAAGGAAGCGTGTCAGCCGGGCGCTGATTCAGGAATTCCTATGCTGGTCCAAACAAAAGTTGTGCAGTTGGGACTGCGGGTCAACAACAGCTATTTAGATCATAGTTTCGAGAATGTCACAATGGACCCAGCCTCTCCCGTTTTGGGCCTTTGCCCTTCGGAGGGTAAGCACCCCCTGTTTCAGCAAGGGTTGCCATTGCACCCTCCAACCAGTGTGTACTTGGAGAAAGCCGATCATACCGTCGATCGCCAGATTGCCGCACGTAACATGTCTGGTCCTTGGGTTGTCAAAACTAGGGGGCCTTTTTGGTATAGGGTCCAAAAAGAGGGCAGGCTGTGGACCCCCCCTCCCCCCCAAACAGAAGCTAGCGGGGCGACTTGTGAACCTGGTGAAAGGAGGGTGCGAGTTCAGCAGTTTGGTTGTGTATGTTATACATGTAGGGGTTGAGGGAAAGCTAGCCTAATATTCGGGTGCCCCCCTGCCGCCCACCAACAGCGGATGGACTTCGGAGCAACGGCAACGGTCTTCCAAATCGCGGTGACTGGCAACGTGTCTGGAGGGGTCCAAAGGATGGCCATTCTCAGGCTTGGGATTCTACAGCCCAAAGGGAGCTCCAAAAAGGGCCCCTAATTTTTGACCCCCCCCCCCACCAAGAGGGTGGGGAGTTCAAGATGGTGGACCCCTTTGCGGTTGAAGAAGACCGCCGATTCCTATTTTGAAACACACCAACCAATCCCGAAAATGAGCTTCGGGGTCGACGTTTTCCGAGGCATCGGAGTCGAGCTGATCACTAGGCGGGTGGTTTCCTCTCCCCGAGATCGCACCAAAAAAGGCTGGGCTTGACTCGGGAAGCCACGTTCTGGAGGTCCCAGGCACCAAACGTCGCGGTCGCAGAACATGGACACCGCCGGGAAAAGGAGCAACTTTTGAAGGGGAATTTGAGGGGCTCCGAAAAGATGGTCGTCTCCAAATGGGTTTGTCTTGAAATAATTACTCTACCATACTCTTTTAACCCAACCCAAACATGGCTGCCCTCAAAGGCAGACACTCTATGGCAGAGTTTTGTTAGTTGGCACTCATCTCAAAGGTTGGTGTAAGGGGACACCGCCGAAAGGAAATCATCGTATTGCCTGTCACACATTTGACACATGCCGAATGACCCGGCTTCTACTTGGATGTTGGTTGTCCACGGTAAATACTGAGAAAAGAGGGTCTTGGATGGAGAAGGCAATAGACCATGGCACAGCACCGTTTATTGGAGGTGGTACCATTTTTTTTGGGTCGTGTTACAGGGAAGCCAATTATTTTGGGTTTTCCGATTTTGGAGGCAAACTCCTATTTCACGCCCTTGGTGGTTTTAGACAGCACTGGTGGAGTGATGTCTGGCTTCGCCGAAGACAACTATGTAGCAAACAGTTGCAAGATATGGCTGTGATTTAATGCCCTGCTGTATTGGGCTTGGAGGGGTGTTGGCTTGACGTTCAATGCCTATTGTTCAATACCCCTTGATCATCAAATATTTAGAATTTGGTTCAAGTAGTTAACAGAGTTTCTAAAGCCGTGTGAACGGTCTACCTAGTCATGTGACACACACACACACATACACACATACACACAAACACACCACAAGCACACGCACAACTACAATTACAAACACAAGCACAAGCGCAAACACACACACACACAGACAGTCACACAGACTGCCGCACAGAGCCTCCCACCCCGGTAGTTTTTTTTGTAGCGCGAGATATAGGTACGAGTGCTGAGTGACCGCCAACCGGGCTGCGGGCGATATAGCTGTCGTTCAATACCAGTTGAACAAGTGTTGCCGCTCAATATCTATCCGACCCAGGGATCTCTTGCATAGTGCGGTTTCCATCCGTATGGGTGTGTCTGTATCTTAAAATGGCCCGGTTCTCCTTGAGGTTTGTTGAAAATGACTAAAACGGGTACCCGCAATAAAGGACACGCTCATATCACTCGTCTCATGGCTTGTTGCCTGTCCACGGAGCAGGCCCTCCATTGTCTTCTTGGACGAACCGCCGCAGCCTTGGGGGGATTTCAACCAAGGCGGGTTGCGTTGCAAGGTTTGTTTGAAGAGCACAATGGCCCCTGTTAAAGAAATGAAAAGGATGCTGCCTCAACAATAATGGCTTAAGCAGGTTTGCGCAATGGTCCTGGCGACTGCTTCCCCCTCCGATCCAATGGCCACATTGGAACAGCCCACGTCTGCACAGATGTGGCGGCCGAGATGGTTTGCACAGGGTCACATTTTCGTCGTGCTTTTATTTCCCAGTTCTTTTGTTTTCCATCCTTCAGACTGCGCGCAGCATGCATTCTTAGAGCAATTTAGCTCAAGTTCCAGTACTACGGAAGTTCTTGTTACGCTTGCTTTGAGCGTGGTAATTGGATGCACTTGGTGATTGGCGCGCTTTCGCGGATCCAGGCTTGGCGGCTGTTTGGACAGGCTCTCCGTAAAACCCAAAAAGTCAGCTCCCGGTTTCAACTTCAACCATCATGGAAGTGGACAAGGTGCCTTGACAAAAGGAGGCCCGTCCTTTGGAGAGTTACCAGGTTTCCTCCATTTTGGAACCTCCAAAGGGGCAGTTGGACTCCACCATTCAATGGCAAGTTTCGAAGGGGAATTCCAGCGGAGTTCGCTCGCGAGCGATTTGTGGCTGTCGCGGGCTCGCTCAAACTAGAGGAAGGCTTTGGAAGGTGCTGGTTGGGGTATGGTTCTTCGTATCTTGGAGGAAACAGAATCTAAACATATTATTCTTGGTGTACCCTGAAAGTGGGTCAAGTGTCCTCCAAGTATGTCAAAGCACAACGAGCATCTCGAAATGCTCGCTTTTTTACAAGGGCGTCGTTTCTTGACCAATGTGGAACAATTCCTCACCTGAACTTTAGAGCCTCCGGCTCAGTCCGCCGACATTGTCCTGTCCCTTTTCTCCTTCTTCCTCTCTTCCTTGTCTCCCTTGTGTGTTCTGTCGTCCTCTCTCCCTCCCTCTGCTCCCATCCTCCCCATCCCCCCAAGCCTCTCTCTCCCCAATCTCCCTCTCTCGCATGCATGCATGCATGTACATATGTATGTATGTATGTATGTATGTATGTATGTATGTATGTATGTATGTATGTATGTATGTATGTATGTATGTATGTATGTATGTATGTATGTATGTATGTATGTATGTATGTATGTATGTATGTATGTATGTATGTATGTATGTATGTATGTATGTATGTATGTATGTATGTATGTATGTATGTATGTATGTATGTATGTATGTATGTATGTATGTATGTATGTATGTATGTATGTATGTATGTATGTATGTATGTATGTATGTATGTATGTATGTATGTATGTATGTATGTATGTATGTATGTATGTATGTATGTATGTATGTATGTATGTATGTATGTATGTATGTATGTATGTATGTATGTATGTATGTATGTATGTATGTATGTATGTATGTATGTATGTATGTATGTATGTATGTATGTATGTATGTATGTATGTATGTATGTATGTATGTATGTATGTATGTATGTATGTATGTATGTATGTATGTATGTATGTATGTATGTATGTATGTATGTATGTATGTATGTATGTATGTATGTATGTATGTATGTATGTATGTATGTATGTATGTATGTATGTATGTATGTATGTATGTATGTATGTATGTAATGTATGTATGTATGTATGTATGTATGTATGTATGTATGTATGTATGTATGTATGTATGTATGTATGTATGTATGTATGTATGTATGTATGTATGTATGTATGTATGTATGTATGTATGTATGTATGTATGTATGTATGTATGTATGTATGTATGTAATGTATGTATGTATGTATGTATGTATGTATGTATGTATGTATGTATGTATGTATGTATGTATGTATGTATGTATGTATGTATGTATGTATGTATGTATGTATGTATGTAATGTAATGTAATGTAATGTAATGTAATGTATGTATGTATGTATGTATGTATGTATGTATGTATGTATGTATGTATGTATGTATGTATGTATGTATGTATGTATGTATGTATGTATGTATGTATGTATGTATGTATGTATGTATGTATGTATGTATGTATGTATGTATGTATGTATGTATGTATGTATGTAATGTATGTATGTATGTAATGTATGTATGTATGTATGTATGTATGTATGTATGTATGTATGTATGTATGTATGTATGTATGTATGTATGTATGTGTATGTATGTATGTATGTATGTATGTATGTATGTATGTATGTATGTATGTATGTATGTATGTATGTATGTATGTATGTATGTATGTATGTATGTATGTATGTATGTATGTATGTATGTATGTATGTATGTATGTATGTATGTATGTATGTATGTATGTATGTATGTATGTATGTATGTATGTATGTATGTATGTATGTATGTATGTATGTATGTATGTATGTATGTATGTATGTATGTATGTATGTATGTATGTATGTAATGTAATGTAATGTAATGTAATGTAATGTAATGTAATGTAATGTAATGTAATGTAATGTAATGTAATGTAATGTAATGTAATGTAATGTAATGTAATGTAATGTAATGTAATGTAATGTAATGTAATGTAATGTAATGTAATGTAATGTAATGTAATGTAATGTAATGTAATGTAATGTAATGTAATGTAATGTAATGTAATGTAATGTATGTATGTAATGTAATGTATGTAATGTAATGTATGTATGTAATGTATGTATGTATGTATGTATGTATGTATGTATGTATGTATGTATGTATGTATGTATGTATGTATGTATGTATGTATGTATGTATGTATGTAATGTATGTATGTATGTATGTATGTATGTATGTATGTATGTATGTATGTATGTATGTATGTATGTATGTATGTATGTATGTATGTATGTATGTATGTATGTATGTATGTATGTATGTATGTATGTATGTATGTATGTATGTATGTATGTATGTATGTATGTATGTATGTATGTATGTATGTATGTATGTATGTATGTATGTATGTATGTATGTATGTATGTATGTATGTATGTATGTATGTATGTATGTATGTATGTATGTATGTATGTATGTATGTATGTATGTATGTATGCATGTATGCATGTATGTGAGTATGTAAGTAAGTAAGTAAGTAAGTATGTATGTAATGTAATGTAATGTAATGTAATGTAATGTAATGTAATGTAATGTAATGTAATGTAATGTACTGTAATGTAATGTAATGTAATGTAATGTAATGCATGTAATGTATGTACGTATGTATGTATGTGTGCATGCATGCATGCATGCATGCATGCTGACATACATGTATGCCTGTATGTATGTATGTATGTAATGTATGTATGTATGTAATGTCATGTAATGTCATGTAATGTAATGTAATGTAATGTAATGTACTGTTATGTATGTATGTATGTATGTATGTCTCCTTGCACTTCCCCTTTGCTCCCCAGTATTTCCCGCAAAAAAAACACGGTTTTTCCAGCGTTTTCGCAAAGAGGACGTCCAAAAACATTGAGCTTTTCCAGATTTTCGGCAAAAGGATGCAGGAAGCCCAAGACAGCAAAAAAGCCGGCAGGGGGAATCGAGCCTGGGACCCCTGTTTTGCGACACCGGCTCCCCGAAGACTACGTTTAGTGGAACGTCATCAAATTGCCGCGCGGTACGTGGGGGACCCCCCCCCCCCAAAAACCTACGTAATAGACGTCGGGCGGGGGGGGGTTAGGGGGGGGGTTATCCTCTATCCTCTAGTAAGTATCCGACACGCCGAGCAATGTCGGCGGACTTTTCGGTTGACCCCAAAAGGGTATCTACGGGAACCGCGCATTTTCGAAGCCCGCGGCGCGAGATTCCGAATCGGTTTCCGAGGACCACTGGGTTGGATTCCTTCAGCGCGTGGCAGGCTGGGTTGACATCGGGGCCGCCCAAAAGTGATTCGCAGCCCCTGCGCCTTCCTGTGCGTCAACCTGATGGGGTTCCGAGCCTCAACCAAAAACGACACCCGGGTGTCACGGCGTTTTTGGCGCTTGCAGTGCCTGAGTGAATTTAGGCCGCTGAACGTGGCATCTTGCCCAGCATTTGTTCGAGATATTTTGAACAGCCAGGTTCTGCATAGTGAGGGGCCCGGTAGGGGTATGACGGGGTTTGCCCTGGCCCCTTTGCTAGGTCATGCGAATTGTCAAGGACCTGGCGGATAGTGGATGTGCCGGCCCGAGTGAGACACAGTGCTGGCAATCCAGTCATTCCAGTTGAGGCCTTCGCGTTGCGGACTTCTGGTTGACCTCACCCCGCGCCTCTCTCGGCTCTCGAGCCGAGGCACGGTGGTTTGCACCATCCATCAGCCCTCCTCGGAGCCCGGGGTTGCGAGGGCTTTCCGGATGGCCCGGCGTCTGAAGGGTCCTCGCGCCGTTTTGTTTTTTTTGGAATGGGCCAAATCGTTGAACCACTTCCCTTGGAGTTTCAAAAGAGCCTAGTAAGGAGGTAATGACTATGGGTGTAAGGGGACTAACCACATCCCCCAAGAAGGCAGGACTTTGGAAGAGTGGAATTTGCCCTGTTCCCAGGCTCCGAAAGGGATGTTGGGTGAGTCTCCAGGGCTTGCCAAGCAGGCGCACTCCGGGGTGACATGGCGCAATCCTTTCGTGGGTAGAGGCAACGAAGGGGATGCCGGCTTTCCCCCAACTGTAAACACCATGTTGGACTGGGCTCGCTTGTTTCCGAGAGCCTTCAAAAACAACCCCTGAGCTTGACTGGGGAAACAAACAGCGGGTTGACTTCCTTGCGAAGGGCTGTTTGCTGGACAGCGCTTGTTTTCAGGCAACCGTTCGTCGGTTGGTGGCTGCGGTCCCGATTTTTCCCAAGCCACCGGGCGATCATCACCCAATGAGGTTGGTGCTGTTTTCTCGGGCTTGAGGTTGGTGCTTGACTAGATGGCAGAAGGATCACCGAGATCTCCCTTTTGACCGATCCCTTTCGGAGATTCTTTCGGAGATTCTTTCGGAGATTCTGTTGGAGGTTTGTTTGGATGTGAACTGTAAGAGTTCGAACCACATCAACAATGGCCGGACATGAATCCCCAAATGTCCACACCTTCGGTCCAGTGAACATCTCACCCCATTTTGGGCCAACGTCCCTCGTGCTTCGGAGTGGTCCATCGACCTCAGGATTCAACCCTAAAAAGAATGGTTTTCAAGGGGACACAATTTAGATGATGACAATCCTTAAACCATGGTGGTTACAAATGAGCCCCCCATGTTTTTTTGGTTTGAATCGGGTTGAATTTCATTCCCATTTCCACTGAAGGAGATATTCGCGCTGCTGGACCGGGCCGCGGCCTCGACTTTTATTTCTGTTTCGCAGAGGATTTTTTGTCTCTGACGTTTTCGGCGTCTTCTAGAAATTTGCCCCAAACAGCCCTCTGTTTTTTAGGAGCGGGGGGCGGGGGTAGTGCTAGGGTTGGAAGGGAGGACTGGCAGCTGGGGTTATCCACGTAAAGTTTGCGGACCTAAGATGAGTAGTTTCCTTTGAGTTTAGTGGGGCTTAGACCGCTTTTGGAGGGGACCACCCCCCCAACAGGACAGGTGTCAACCCCTTGCGGCATTTGTGGAAGACCTAGTCTTTTTCTTTTTTTAAACGTACCATAAAGCATGTATTGTGAGCATGGGATATGGCGGGTTGCTTGTTTCCCTTGGAAACATTCAAAAAGGATGAGGCTGAAGTCTCTTGGACAATGGCAGATTCCGAGCGGCTGTATTGTGGTGTGTGATCTTAATGGCTGCCCCTATACTCCAAATGCGCCTCCTCTCCTGAGCGTAAACCTGGTCCCAGTTTGGGGTTTCACAAGGGGGGAAAGCATCACCAATAGTTTACCCCCCCCGCGCAGCATCCTGACTAAACAATTTAAGTACCCCGCATTCTAATCTAGTCTCTTGTATTGGATGGTCGGGTACTCTCTTTGCTACCGGGGAGCTCGGAAAGGCTCCTGCCCTCGACGACTCCTTCAAATGCTGTTGAGTCGGACAGGGTGCTGGCGGAGTGAAGCCGGCGGTTCCCACGCGCCATCGTTTTCCCTTTTGAAGGGAGCAACGGTGAGTGAAAGCATGCAGAGGTGACCACCAAAGCAGGAACAAGTACGAAGGAGGGTTCGGAGAGCATGTCCAGATGGTCAATTTCGAGTGGGGACATGGGAAATCCCTAAGCTTTGGCCACACATGCAGGAAGTGACCCGAGTTTTCGCGTGTGAGTTGCTGGCAACGAGCGGCATATTTTGACTTTTACTTATGGCCCCTACTCCAACTGCGTTTTTTTCGGGTACGATTCCAACCCCGGACTGAGAGAAACCAACTCGCGGGTATTTGGAGTAGGTGGACGCCGGGTGCCCTTTGGAAAGCTGGCGATGGGTGGCTTGCCTTTTTAGGGGGACCTGCGAAACGGCGTCGGTTTTCCCTTTGGTTTCGCTCTAAAACCAACCCAAAGGGGGTGTCCTCAAACTATGGCACACCCGTAGATACCCTTCTTGTACTGGATGCAAGAACATGGCACAATTCCCAATTCCCCGTTTGCTTTCACCTTGTGCTGGGATTGAGTAGGTTGGGGAAACTGGATATGGGTTTGTCTCAAAACAGGGGAGCCCGTACATTGGGTAAGAAATTATAGGGTTTCCCTTTAAAACACATTGGACAAATTGGGGGGGTACCCTGAAAATTGAAGCCTTCACATGTAGGGATGTCTTTTTTTGGCGCTCTCCTTTTTAGCTTGCTTTTAAAGAGACACCAACCTGAAATCCACATTTTGTTGCGGCCCACTACAGAATGACACACCCATATACCCTTTGTACACATGCTAGAAAGGTCGGGGGCCCAAAAAAGCGAGAGGTGATTTGCTTGTGCCACCAGCGGGCCATCTACCACGGCCCTGCCACCGAGCTCTCTCGCTGGCTGGAGAGGCGAATGGAACTGAACTCAAGATCACAGGCTCCCTAGAAAAGCCCAGGATAAGACGAGGATAAGCCCTTTTGAGGCTGTAGGCCAGACAGCCAGCACTCGCCTTTTTCAGGGAGGATGCAGTTTTATTTTCGTTTCCCACATGTGCAGGATTGTTTGCAATGGGTTGCCCCTTGAAAAGGAACCCAGCAAAGGTTGTTTGAACCATAGATGTTTAAGCCTGCAAAAACTGGGTCCAATCTCATGAACACCTGGAGGGGTTCTTGATATCTATTTCGGGGATTTTTCCGTTTAAATGTCTAGAAGCGAAGTTTGAGGATCCCATGCCCCAGTTTTACAGATGTGATTCGCCCAAGCCAGCACGGAACCAAAACGGGCGCGCTCCAAACGGAGATGCCGCTACAAATGCTTCTTTGGTTTTGTGTTAGACTGCGGGGGAGTTCACAAGCGTCAGGACATGCGGTGAAATCACCCCTCCGACCTGGGGGATGTAGAAGGGATGTGAAGAGATGAGGGGTAAAATCTAGGGGGCTTCCAAGAAATTAAGATGCAATCGTCACTCCTCGGGCTCTACTTTTTGGGACGATCATTGCAGTGGGACATGAGAACCCCTTCAGCTGGTTGATTTCATTTCGTTGTCCGTTTGATGTTCTTTGCTTTTGGCGCCTCCCAGCCGGGTTGAAAAGGGATCGCTGAAGACAATTTTGCAGGACCGAGGACCAGAACAGGGCCTTGCGGTTCTCCTTTAATAACTTGGATTAGTAATTTAGGGATTACCCCTATTCCTTTGGGGCAGGTACAGGGAGGTTTTTGATGACCGCTTTGTATGTACATAGCATTGTATGAGGCCAGTCAAAGGACCCGAGGTGGTTGGTTTGCCTCTTTGCTTTCCTTTCAAACCAAGGCAGCCCCGAAGACCCCTGGAGACAGGCCCGCATTCTATTTCACGTCTCCTACCAAAGGGGCTCCCTTTGAGACAAGCCCAAAGCAGGCGGGCGCGAACACGCAGGTCAGGGCGGCACGTACCCAGGGACTACAATCCCGCCGACTACGTGCCGTGGATGAATCCATGCGGCTTTGGGCGGCTCAAGAACCTTCCTTGCCACACCGCATGGGGGTCGCAGCTTGTTTTAGGGTATGATTTGTCAACAGATGGGAAAAGGAACAGTTTCCATGAAGGCGGGTATTTGGAGATCATGGTCTCACTTGCAACTGCGAATTGACATGAAATCACCTTTTGGTTTTTCAGATGGCGGATTTGTGAGAGGATCCCAAAGATGACCTTCTCGTTGGGGGTCCCTATATTTCCTTTGTGGTTTCAAAGATCACCTTTTGGCCCACTCTAAAGTGAACTTCTTGGTGTGATGATGTTTGTACTGCATGGAGGCCTGTTGCCCTCCGGGCTCCATGAAATGACATCTTCGCTTTTGAACCTGCAGTGAACGATCGTGCCATTTCGTGCTTCAGGCATCCTGGTTCAGACTTCATGCTTGCTTTGCAGTGCTGCCAGAAGTAAGTACGCGCGCGAGAGCGCGCCGCGCTCTGCGAAGCTTTGTGCGTTCTGAAGCGTGTGATTTGTTTCTCCGTTGTGCAGAATGGGCTGAGACGATCATGCCTTCTTTGAAAACGTTAGAAAGGCCAAACATATATTGTTTCGTGGATTTATTATTTTGAAAGAGGCTGCTTAAGAAAGACGAGGCGAAATCAATGAAGGGATCGGCTCATTTGCTTCACGATTGTTTTCAAAAGAAACCAACATGAGAAGAGCTTTGGTACAGGTCCTTTGATCGAAAACCATTCTTAAATGAAAGTAAAGGGACACCAGGGGAACACCGAAAGGATGGCCCTCCTATTCCGCAATAATTCGGAGGTTCCCCCTATCTGGAAGGGCTGAAAACCAGGCCCATTCGGTTGAGCTGACAATCTTGTTGGCACCAATTTGGAAAAACGAGGACAGAAGGGCCACCAAAAGCACCAAGACCGGGACCCAACTTCCCTCTGCTCCAGGGAACCCGCGATCGATGTCCGTGAAGCCAGGATCGAACTTGACCGGGCCCGCTGACCGGTCTCAATGGAATTGGGGGGGACACACTGACCTCGACTCCAGTAGTTTCATGTTCCCTTGCGGTACCAGAAACCATTGTAACCCTTGCATTGGCCCAGTTCGGCCTGAACTCAGGTGATGTTTCTCATGGAGACCCTGCCCAAAAGCGAGCTGGAGCTCTTGTGCGGCACAAGCCGCGTCAGCCGCGACAGCAGCTTCCGGCCCAGTGCCGATGGGGGCTCGGCTCCGCACAGGCGCGCATGGCGCGCAGCGGGGCCGAAAAATGCATACTGTATCTATATGGCCGTGGGTCAACACCAATGGTACCATTTTGGGGTAGGTGCACCACCCATTTCAGTCTATTTTAGTGGTTGGATTGGGATGTTCACTGGGGGTACGGGCTTTTGACCCATGGCCATATGTAGGTCAGGGGTCCCTATATTTCCCTTGGGTGTTGTTTCAACATCACGTTTTTAGGCCAGTTAAGATGAGTTTCCCTTTAGGATGATGTTTCAAAGCAAAATATCGTGTGATGATTTAAAGGGAATTGTAGGGAAACCCTGCATGTTTCTGCGGCTCGGCGCTTCGAGGGTAAGGCGAGCGAAACCCACAAAGCTTGGGGTTTTCAGCTCGTGTTGCAAACAACAAAGAGACGCCAACCGTTTTGAGGGTCAAATTCGTATCAAAGATTGAGGACACCCTACTGCTTCGAACAAATAATCTAAAAGGAGGACATCCGTTGAGGTTTTGTTTTAGTAGCCCCGACTTTTTGCTAGCTCCGGCTTAGCACAAGGCCTCCCCTCATGTGCTTCCAAACAGGTTGGCTGGGAAGCCTTGCTTCACTCTTAGGTTGGGTGGCAGTTGAGAGTTGCTCGGGTCTGGGATGAGTGTTGGGCTTGCTGAGATCTTAATGAGGGCAGGTCTTGGGTTTGTTTGGGGTTCATTTAGGCGCGGCAAAGGTCTGATATCCAGGATGCTGTTGGGTGGGTTTCAGTTTAGACATTGGATCGGTTTGGGTTGTCTTGGCTGATTTGTGCTAGGTTTGCGACTGGTTTAGCAGTGGCCTTGTTGGTTTGAGGCCTTTCATTTTGGACAGAGAGCACAACCCAGACCAGTTTCTTTCGCAAACTCACCATCCGAACGGCAACATGACAGCGCTGTCAAAGCACAACCGTCGCGTGGTAAAAACCATGGGGCCCCCTGGTACTCTGGTCACTGGTGCCCCATGAAATCTTCCCAGTTTTTTTTTCGGCAACCCATCTCCCCTTTGTGCTTTGGGCTACCCCGCACTCCAAATACCAGCGCTTTAGAAAGGCATGTCATCCTCTAATTTTTGCTTTGGGATTTCGATGTGTTTTTTTTTCTTCCGCAAACGAGGCTGGGTCATAGTTCTGGAGCGTGGGCCGGGGGTAGGATGTTCAATCGACTTAAGTGTATTATCATGGATGGTGTCGTGGGGCAATATGGCTGTGGGTCCAAACCAATGGTACCATTTTGGGGTAGGTGCACCACCCATTTCAGTCTATTTTAGTGGTTGGATTGGGATGTTCACTGGGGGATAACCGGTCTTTTGACCCATGGCCATATAGCCATGGTGCCCTTTCCTGTCACGGTGAACACCCCACTAGGCCAATGGACCTCGCAGGTTGGAGCCCGCGAAGATGCGTAAATCCTTCGCCCTGCAGGACGCTTCGGGGGGGTTCGCCTGGGGTCGCCAGTGAGTTGCACAATTCCCACTTCAGCGGCGCTCCTATTTCTAGTGTTGGGGAAGGGAGGGACGGGTTTAATGTCCACCTCATATTTAGAAACGCCCCCCCCCCCCAACCCCCTAAGGTCGTACGGAGGGGGGCCTGTAATTAGAAGCTTCCGGCGGATCCCGGAGATTCCTTACCTGGCTGTTGGTCAGCGCCTAGGAGCTTTTAGTCACGCACTAGGAGCTGAGCCTTTTTTTGGGATTTTGTGGGCCAAGCCGGATTGTGTAATTACGGGGGGGTTTCTAAATACGTTCTGGGATTTGGATTGTGCAAATACGCGGGGGTTTCTAAATATGAGGTCAACACTAGCACCTCTTTGAAAGGAAGCAATTGTGGTTCACAGATGTTGAAACGAAGAGGGCGGATCGCACCCTGATTGTAAACCAACCTAAAAGCGTGGACCAGAATTCCCCGCTTTCAGGAATTCCGCTCAACTTCTCCAGATTCTTTTTGAGAGTTTCTCTCGATTTGGTGGACAACCTTTTGGCATTTAAATGAACATCGAACGGAAGACATGGCCACCCAAAGGACACCGACTCTCCCAGCCACTTTAGGTGGTCCCTCTCCTATACGCCTCATTAAATATTTTGACCAAACAGTCAAGCGCTTTTTGGTCGCTGAATTGCACACCCAAACTGGGCCGATGGTGGTAATTCTTGTTGATAGGTAATGGCATACTGACATGACAATTTGGCTCAAGAAAAACAAGCTGCTGCCCGTGCTGATTTTTAGGTAGATCCCACCTTTCAACAGGTTATCAGCCGTATCGCTGGTACCTTGTACAGTCAGCTCTCACCCGCGCCGCGATGGCGTCAAGCGGCGACGGATGCCACCCTGCCATAGCAAGGATGAACGAAGCAGTGGCCAACGAATTGATCAAGGGTGGGCATCCGGAAGGGAAACCGCCATGCAATCCGTCACAGCGCTCCCGAAGCAGTTTTCCTGAATCCGACCAAGGTGATGCGCTTGTGCCCATCACATCGGTCGTTCTTCCGGAGGATTCAATGGGAAGCGGAGGGGAACCTCTCGCCGGACATCAACCTGGGCAAGAGATGCACGCGCACATGACTAAGAATGAGACTCACCTTCATCAACATCATGTGAGCGCCCCGAATATATATCAACACAGCCAGACGGTGAATGTGGTCAACACAGGTCCGAGCACGGAGGAAGTGGCTGCCTATGCTTCGGCACGCCACGACGCCATCATCAATCAGCTCCAAGCCGGCCATGTTGAGGAAAGAGGCCGACTCTATCAGGACGCGGTGAACCACATCAATGTATGCCAACAAGAGGCAATGGCGAAAGAAAGAGAGTTTAACGAGGCAAGACAGCAGTGGGTTGCTCAACGCTCAGAAGCTGAACAGAAGTATGAACGGCTCAAATTGATTTGGGAAGTCACCCACAACAAGCAGAAGGAGGATGCGGACAGGAACGCTGCTGAAATGAGGGAGATTATCATGAAGCAGTCGAGGGACATTGAGGCACTACGTCATGAACTGAAATCTCGCAGTGAGCAGAGTAGTTCTTCTAATGTTCCGATTTTCGGTCTGAGGCCAAAGGCCTCTCCTGTACAGACGTTTCCTCCCCCTGGCCTGGATCTTAGTTCTAAGGTACGTGTCAGGTCAGCTTCCACCGAACTCCGCCGTGACGGGCCAGGTGCCGCCGATGATCTTGACGGGGATGCCGGGGATTACGAACCGACATCTCCGGCACAGGACCTTAACGATGGTGGCGGATGTCCATCAGGCGCAGGGAATGGCCAAAGCGGAGGCGGTGGGGAACCACCTGCCGGTAATCCCGATGATGACGATGATCCTGACGACGACGATGACGATGGGAATGACGATGGTAAGAAGAGCAAGAAGGACAAGAAGAAGAAGAAGAAGAAGGATAAAAAGAAGAAGAGCAAAAAGGACAAGAAGAAGAAGAAGAAGCCACAAGAAGCGAAAGAGTGGGTCTCCTTCCGACTCTCCAAGCTCTTCATCATCCAGCTCCTCAACATCATCATCCTCATCATCATCATCGGAGAAGGCACGAGTGATCCGCAAGAAGCTCAACAAGATTTTGGGTAAGCAGGCGAGCGCAGTGGACGCGGACCATGACAAGCCCAAGGTCAAGGAGGCGGAGAGGATTGTTGTTCCATCCTTCCCACTTCCTGAGAGTTACAGGAATTGGCGCATCAAGGTGCGGGAAGCCGTATGTGCGGCATCCGACCGCCCCGATGACGCTTTCACGTGGATCAGCAGAGTGTGGGAGCCCGCCGTCACAATCGAGGAGCTCAAAGATCCCGGTGCCTTCCTCACATTGGACGCCAAGTTGCTGTCCGCCCTCACCAACATCATTCAGGGTGACCTGGCGAGACAAGTCGACACCTTCAAGGAGATAGAGGCGCAGAAGAGGAATCCAGTTCGTGGGAGACAAGTGCTTCTTATGGTGCATGAGCACCTGAGCACGAACATCAAGCACGGAGCCACCTATGCCATGGAGGATCTCCTCAACGTGAGGCTCGTGAACGATAACCTCACTTCCTTCATGCGTAGCTGGGAGGGTGTTCTTGCAGGAATGAATGCCAAGACGCCGGATGACTCCATGCTTGAGGCTCTGTTCTACAACCAGCTGAAAAAGAGCAAGCAGATGCAACACCATTTGAATGTCTATTTGAGCGCCTCGGAAGAGTCCGCCGATCACTCATACACCTACTTGATCGAATCTGTGAGGCAATACCTGTCTCGAGCAAGGCTCGAGCGCAACCGAGAACGGGTTGCTAGGCAGAACGGGGGTAGGCCAGCCGCGCCCGCTGCTGAGAGCCAACGTGTGCCTAAGGGGTTTTGCATTGCATTTGTCAAGTATGGGTCGTGCCGGCGGGACAATTGCACGTACAAGCATGAACAGCCATCGGGCGATGCCAGGGGTAGGACCCCATCAAGAGACGCTAAGCCTAAGAAGGGTAAGGGTAAAGGCCGAACGAATAGCCCAAAGGGAAAGAAAGAGTGCCGATTCTACCCTAAGGGAAGATGTGACCGTGGTGAAAACTGCCCATTTGCTCACATCGATCCGAAGCCGGCCGTTCCAGGGTCAAGGGAGCCTTCCACAGACAAGCAAAAGAAGCAGGGAAAGGACCGGAAGCATCGCAAGTCGAGCAGGGATCGCTCCAAGTCGACCTCTCGATCCACTTCCCGTGACTCCAAGGGAGAGAAGAAGAAGGGTCACAAGGGAAAGTCTTCCGGAAAGCCTTCCCCTGCTGCTGTTTGTGTGTTGGGATGCTTGTTGTCTTCCATGATGAACGCCCCTATCGCTGAGGGGAACCTCATGTCGGACTGGAAGCATGTGCCTGCCCTCCCGAGCGTGCGTTTCAGCTCGAAGGTTGAAATGAATAGGATACCAGCACATGGTGAGCAGTTTAAGATCGCGGACAAACCGCGCGTGTATCCAAAGGTCTACCCAATCGACCATCAGTTTTCCCATGATGAGGTTAGCATAGATGATGCTAGACTCGAAGCAACCATGCTCGCCTTCATTGTGAGGCGTGAATTGGAAGGCCATCCGACTAGGTGCAACTATGAATGTGACAGTGAGATCGGATGCTGGCAATGCGCCCCGAGAGACATGGGCGCAAAGCCCGCCTTGGCGAGCAAGAGATTCTCTCCGAACTGTTCATGGATTATTGACACTGGGAGCGGGACTGATCTTTTTACACGTGCAAATTGCCCCGAATATGCAATTTATAATTCAAATGATCCCGTGATGTTGATGACTGCCAATGGACCAAGTGATTCGTCAAAGCAGGCCAACATGGCCGCAGGTGACCTTGGGAACACGGATCCATATTTGTTGCCACAAACACCCTCTGTTCTCTCCGTAGGTTTGAAGTGCATGAATCAGGGTTATGACTTCATATGGCATGCAAAAGAGAAGCCATTCTTTGTCAAGCCTGATGGGACGAGAATTTATCTCAAAGTTCGAGATTATGTCCCGTACTACGACGTGTGGGATGGCGACTCAGCAATGGCGTGTCCCGCCAAAGGCACACCGCCAAGCCGACCGGAAGGTCAGGTCGCCAGAAGCAATGCACCTAGTGAATCATCACACTCCTCCTCCGTGCAAACCGAAGACGCCGCGGAAGAAGAGTATACGCCTAGCATTGCCCCTCTAGAAGATCCTGAGGTGCATGCTAGAGTTGTCGCCGAGCTTCTGGCGAATGACCCCGTTGAAGTCATTCCAGATGAACCTGCTGAGCCGATGGAGAGTAAAGATTTGGCAGGGGAAGATGTTGTTGGCAACCCTGATAAGAAAAGTCCTAGGTCACTTGCAGAAAGCGCCCTTAGGCAGGAAGCAGCATCACGAAAGCACCTGATGACACACCAGCCAAAGAATCCATTCTGCGAAGTGTGCAAATGCGCGAAGATGACCAAGTCTCCCTCTCGCTCGCGGGGGGGATCCAGACAGGTTGATGCTCGAAAATTTGCTGAGCACATCACAGCCGATTTCATAATCACTGCGGATGAACAGGAGCTGGGCATAGACGATGAATACTCTGCCCTTGTCATAAGTGACGTTGCCACCGGTTTCAAATATGCATACCCTTTTGCTAAAAGAAACACGGAAGCAACTGTGAAGGCGTTTCAGCACTTCACTTCCTCGTCGGACGAGGTTGGCACGTTTTATAGTGATAATGCCCCTGAGTTAATTGCTGCAGCTGAACAGATGGGCTGGAGACATGTCCTCAGTCAAGAGTACATTCACAAAACCAACGCGGTGGCTGAACGGAGCATCAGAACCGTGCTCGAGGGAACTCGAGTCGCACTTGCACAGGCCGGGTTGAATCATTCATACTGGCCGCACGCCGCAAGGCACTGGTGTTTATCTCAAAATGTGTGTGAACCACCTTCTGGTTCCAGAACACCGTGGAATCTTAGGTTCGAAGAAGA